CACAGAGAGACCCGTAGACTCACACAGAGACCCGTAGACCCGTGCAGAGACCCATAGACTCACACAGAGAGCCATATACTCACGTAGAGACCCATATACTCACACAGAGACCCATAGACTCGCGCAGAGACCCATCGACTCACGCAGAGACCCATCGACTCACGCAGAGACCCATAGACTCACACAGTGACCCATAGACTCACACAGAGACCCATAGACTCACACAGAGACCCATTGACTCACACAGAGACCCATCGACTCACACAGAGACCCATCGACTCACACAGAGACCCATCGACTCACACAGAGACCCATAGACTCACGCAGTGACCCACAGACTCACACAGAGACCCACAGACTCACACAGAGACCCATTGACTCACACAGAGACCCATAGACTCACGCAGAGACCCACAGACTCACACAGAGACCCACAGACTCACACAGAGACCCATTGACTCACACAGAGACCCATCGACTCGCACAGAGACCCATAGACTCACGCAGTGACCCATAGACTCACACAGAGACCCACAGACTCACACAGAGACCCATTGACTCACACAGAGACCCATAGACCCACACAGAGACCCATAGACTCACACAGTGACCCATAGACTCACACAGAGACCCATAGACTCACACAGTGACCCATAGACTCACACAGAGACCCATAGACTCACACGAAGCCAAACTCTCACGAATGGAATTCACGGCCAACCATCTCAACGTGGCAGCACCCTCTTGAGAGCGAGTCTTGAGACTCGGTTAGGATTCTCTGGGGAATTAATGTGCGTTATTGTCAGGTTAACAACAATGGATTCTACATTGTTTGATTAATGGTGGTGGTGGCGATGGTGAAAATGATGTCACGGCTACTGCTGATGATGTTGGTAATCATACTGCTGTTATTTATAATAACGATGGCGATGCTGTTGTTTTGATGTTGATGACAATGCTGCTGCTACTGCTGATGATGATAATGCTGATGACGTTGCTGCTCCTGCTGCTGATACTGATTTTTCTATTAATAGTGATTACTGCTGCCGATGGTCAAGATGCTGATGACGCTGATGATGATGATGCTGTTGTTGATGCTGCTGCTGCTGATATTGCTGCTGATGATGTTGCTGCTGCTGCTGATGATGTTGCTGCTGATACTGCTGCTGTTGCTGCTGATGCCGCAGCTGATGATGCCGCTGATGATGATGTTGATGATGATGATGTTGATGATGCTGCTGCTGATGTTGCTGACGACGATGTTGTACACACTCTTGCGGTGTCTATTTTAGGATTGTATGACAGTAATTACACCCAATGTGGATGTGTGTGTGTGTGCTTGTGTGTGTCTGTGTGTGTCTATATGTGTGTGTGTCTGTGGGGAGCGGTGGTGTAGCGGTTAGCGCGCTGCGCTATGAACCTGGCGACCCGGGTTCGATTCCTGTTCACGGCAAACACCAGTGACGATTATCTGAACCGGTCCCGGGCCTCCCCTAGGTCGACTCAGCCTCAAATGAGTACCTGGTGCGATGTGTAAACATCGCCGCTAGGGAGACAAAGGCGGTCGGGCGTGGTGCTGGCCACCCACCCCTCGTGTGCCGTGCTGGCCTTTATAGGTGCTCGCTAACAGCACTTGCCCCTACAGTCTGTTTAGGCTACACGGGGATCTTTGTCTTTTTGTGTGTCTGTGTGTGTCTGTGTGTCTGTGTGTGTCTGTGTATGTAGTGTGTGTCTGTGTGTGTAGTGTGTGTCTGTGTATGTAGTGTGTGTCTGTGTATGTAGTGTGTGTCTGTGTGTGGTGTGTCTTTGTGTGTCGTTGTGTGTGTGCGTCTGTTTGTGCGTGTCTGTGTGTGCGTGTCTGTGTCTGTCTGTGTGTGTGTAGGTCGACTCAGCCTCAAATGAGTACCTGGTACGGTGTGTAAACATTGCTACTAGGGAGACAAAGGCGGTCGGGCGTGGTGCTGGCCACCCACCCCCTCGTGTGCCGTTCCGGCCTTCAGAGGTGCTCGCTTACAGCACTTGCCCCTACAGTCTGTTAAGGCTACATGGGGGATCTTTGTGTGTCTGTGTGTGTCTGTGTGTCTGTGTGTATGTGTGTGTCTGTGTGTCTGTGTATGTGTCTGTGTGCGTGTTGTGTGTGTTTGTGTGTGTCTGTGCGTGTTGTGTGTGTCTGTGTGCGTGTTGTGTGTGTGTGTCTGTGTTCGTGTCTGTATGTGTGTGTTGTGTGTTTGTGTCCTGGGGGGTGGGTGAGGTGGTGGATGGGGGCGGGGGCGAACCCGAAAGGATGGGAGAGAGAGGCACGTGGGCGGCTGGTTGCCATGGCGACGTGACCTGGCAACCCCCGCGGGGGCGGCGAGTGGGGGGGTATCCGAGGATGCTGTCGTCATGGCGACCGGGTGCCTAGCAACGGTGGGGAGGGACAGGTTGGGGGGGGGGGTCTTCGGTGGTAAGCAATCTCCCTGCGTCTCGTAAACACGTCAATCCACTGCTGGATGAGGCCCTTAAGGGGAGGAGGGGGGGTATTTGACCATACTTCACCACTTGGGTCATTGCGAGTCTTTTTTTCTGTTTCGTCTGCTTCACAAAAACAACCGCCTTTCGCCACTAAGTGGCGGTGACGTCAACACGGCGCTTGTGCCAGGCTATGTGCACCTTGAGGCCACGTGAAGTGTCGAACTCCCGCTGGCAGGAGGTCACGGGGCAGACCCAGCAGGTGCCACGGGTCGACTGACCGAGATGACCGAGATGACTGGCTGATGCACCACCTGTGCCCCCTACTGTACCAACTAGCTGTGCTTTAGCCACCCGGCGCTCCGCTCGTTGTTGTGAGCGTCGCTCCTCCGCCCTCCGTTGTTGTTGGAGGGCGACTGCTTCCAACTGCCCAGTAGCGTCCTTCACGAGCCTCCTCCACTGAGGCCGATCTTGACACAGCTGGTACCAGTCATCAGCAAGTCCACTCAGCTCCACGTCCTCCTGTACCACAGCACTCCATTCTTTCACACACACACATCCACATATATGCGTGAGTGTCTCTCTGAAACGAATATCGTTTGGCAGGTATCTATTTTATCCAGCCGGATGCCTCAGCCGTCCGTCGGCCCGGGGGTTGTGATGATGGCAGTAGCAGCTGCAGCATCAATGTTGTTGTTGTTGTCGTCCAGTTTAACACCGTAGTAGTAGTAGCTGGCCATTGCTATAACGCTGTGGGCTCGCGTGATATTGTTTTATCCGAGACCAAGATACTCTGCAAACCTTTGGGCTACTATCAAAGGTTTGTTCATGAAGCCATCCAGATCTATAAACAGACATAACTTCAGCCGAGAAGATGGATACAAATTCGAACAATCATTGGAAGGATGTTATTAACCAGGTAATACCTTAACTGGTTGTGGTTGTTTCCATCCTACCTGCCGTTTATTAGTACATGTATTTGTATCATCCATATAGAGGTTTGTTGGGTTAGATCGCGTAAATATATAAATGTGTCGATAAACCCGCCACCACCCGACACAGCCCACTAGTGAGGGTTGTCACGTGAACAGAACGTGGCCAATTCCTCACTCGGACAGCACTAACCGGTGTGTTGGAGAGCCAAGCCACAACACTGCCCATAGACTAACACTGCCCATAGACTAACACTGCCCATAGACTAACACTGCCCATAGACTAACACTGCCCATAGACTAACACTGCCCATAGACTAACACTGCCCATAGACTAACACTGCCCATAGACTAACACTGCCCATAGACTAACACTGCCCATAGACTAACACTGCCCATAGACTAACACTGCCCATAGACTAACACTGCCCATAGACTAACACTGCCCATAGACTAACACTGCCCATAGTCTATTCTATTCTTGCGTACGGCAAGATGATCATGAGCTGGATGTCACAGTCTGCTGCTGCTGCTGCTCGCTACGACGAGAGCGAGAGCGTTCGTGTCGCTGTTCCTCCTCCTCCTCCGTTGAAGCAGCGCACACGACCCCAGGGGGCTCACGGTGTGACCGGCATGGCCAGTCGCACGGCTGTGGCTTGTCTCTCATGTGTCTCTGTGAGTCTCTGTGAGTCTCCGTGTCTCTGTGTGTCTCTGTGAGTCTCTGTGCGTCTCTGTGTGTCTCTCATGTGTCTCTGAGTCTCTGTGGGTCTGTGTGTCTCTGTGAGTCTCTGTGTGTCTGTGTATCTCTGTTGCTTCTCTCATGTGTCTCTGTGCGTCTCTGTGTGTCTCTGTGTGTCTCTATGAGTTTCTGTGTGTCTCTGGGTGTTTCTTTGCGTGTCTATGTGTCTCTATGGGTCTGTGTTTATCTACGAGTCTCTGTGTGTCTCTCATGTGTCTCTATGAGTCTGTGTGTGTCTGTGTGCGTCTCTGCGGGTCTCTGTGGATCAGTCTCTATGGGTTTACTATAGGGTCCATGGTGGTGATTACACTGAGCGGCAGAGAGTGGAGCACGAGGGTCAGAGAGCACCCCACAGGGTAGGGACGTCACGTGGGTCAGAGAGCACCCCACAGGGTAGGGACGTCACGTGGGTCTCCGTCCAGCAGTGGATGGACCGCGGTGGTGCCATGCGTATCTCTGTGTGTCTCTATGAGTCTCTGTGTGTCTCTGTGCGTGTCTCTGTGCGTATCTCTGCGTGTCTCTGTGTGTGTCTCTGTGCGTGTCTCTGCATGTGTCTCTGAGTCTCTGTGTGTCTCTGTGCGTGTCTCTATGAGTCTCTCTGTGTCTCTGTGCGTGTCTCTGTGTGTGTCTGTGTGTGTCTCTGTGTGTGTCTCTGTGAGTCTCTGTGTGTCTCTGTGTGTGTCTCTGTGCGTGTCTCTGTGCGTGTCTCTGTGCGTGTCTCTGCGTGTCTCTGTGCGTGTCTCTGTGCGTGTCTCTGTGCGTGTCTCTGTGTGTGTCTCTGCGTGTCTCTATGAGTCTGTGCGTGTCTCTATGCGTGTCTCTCTGAGTATCTGTGTGTCTCTGTGTGTGTCTCTGTGCGTGTCTCTGTGTGTGCACAGGTCAGAGAGCCATGTGGCCTCGCCACCTGTGGGGGGCCCTGACCCCTGTGAGCCGTGCCCGCTGGCTCCCGAGGTCATCTGCTCAGACGAGGAGGATCAGGAGGACCCAGCGGATTACTGCAAGGGTGCGAGCATCATCACCGTCATCAGCAGCAGCATCAGTAGCAGTAGCAGCAGTGGCAGCAGAATCAACATCAGCAGTAGCAGCAGAATCATCAGCAGCATCATTGTCAGCGGCAGCAGCAGAATCATCACCATCAGCAGCAGTAGCAGCAGTAGCAGCAGAATGACCATCAGCAGCAGTAGCAGCAGAATCATCATCATCAGCAGCAGAATCAGCAGCAACAGTAGCAGCAAAATCATCATCAGCAGTAGCAGCAGAATCATAATCATCAGCAGCAGTAGCAACAGAATCATCATCAGCAGCAGTGGCAGCAGAATCATCATCATTAGCAGCAGTAGCAGCAGAATCATCATCAGCAGCAGCAGAATCATCATCAGTAGCAGCAGAATCATCACCAGCAGCAGAATCATCAGCAGCAACAGAATCATCATCATCAGCAGTAGCAGCAGAATCATCACCATCAGCAGCAGTAGCAGCATCGTAAACAGCAGGGACATTAGCAAAAGCAGCAGAAGCTGCATCATCATCAGCAGCAGCAGAATCATCATCAGCAGAATAATCATCAGCAGAATCATCATCACCAGCAGCAGTATCATCATTAGCTGCAGCAGCATCATCAGCAGAATCATCACCACCATTATCATCATTAGCAGCATCAGCGTCATCAGCAGTAGCATCATCATCAGCAGCAACATCAGCAGGAGCATCAGCAGCAGCAGTATCAGCAGCAGCAGCAGTATCATCATCAGCAGCAGCATCATCAACAGGAGCATCGACAGTGTCATTCACTGTGTCTCCCCCCCCCACCCCGCGTGCCCCCCCCCGTACCCCCCCCGTACCCCCCCCGTGCCCCCCCCCCGTGCCCCCCCCCAGGCGGCTACCACCCGGTGTGTGTGGGCGAGGTGTACAGCGAGCGCTACCGCGTGGTGCGCAAGCTGGGCTGGGGACACTTCTCTACCGTGTGGCTCTGCTGGGACCTCGCGTGAGCACTACAACAACAACAACAACCGCCATTCGCCACTAAGTGGCGGTGACGTCACCACGACGCTTGTGCCAGACCATGTGCACCTTGAGGCCACGTGAAGTGTCGAACGCCCGCTGGCAGGAGGTCACGGGGCAGACCCAGCAGGTGCCACGGGTCGACTGACCGAGATGACCGAGATGACTGGCTGATGCACCAACTGTGCCCCCTAATGTGCCAACTTTTGCTGTGCTTTAGTCTCCCGGCGCTCCGCTCGTTGTTGTGAGCGTCGCTCCTGGAGGGCGACTGCCTCCATCTGCCCAGTAGCGTCCTTCACGAGCCTCCTCCACAGAGGCCGATCTTGACACCGCTGGTACCAGTCATCGGCAAGTCCACTCAGCTCCACGTCCTCCTGTACCACATCACTCCATCTCTTCTCTAGCCCGTGCCGCACCTGTTAAGCCCCCTCGATCCAGCCGAACAAAAGCTGTTTAGGCATGCGGTGACTTGGCATGCGGGCTACATGACCCAGCCAACGCAGCCTTGCCTGCCGGAGGTGCTCACCGATGGGACTTTGTCCAGATCTTTCAAGGATTTGTGAGCTCCTCACACAATCCAACCTGGTTAAACCCAGGATGGATCGTAGGCAGGCCAGCCTAAATGTTTCTAACCGGCGAAGATGTTACATTAGGGGGGTCCACGTTTTGCAAGCGTAGAGAAGGGAGGGAATGACTGTCGCCTAGAAGACCTGAAGCTTCGTGCGGAGCGACAGACAAGGTAGCTTCCACACAGCGTTACGCAACCGATGAAAAGATAATGCTGCTCGCATTATAATGCCGCTCGCTGATTCGGAGTGAGACCTCTGATGTTAAACCGGAGCCGGTCATAAACACACTACCCAGATATGGGAAACTCTCCACTCTCTCCACAACTGCCCCATCACCAGATCATCGGCATACATAACATGGTTGAGCAATAGGGAGCCATCCCTTGACCGCACCCGGGTATCGATCAGCCTCTCATTATATCTGTACCAGATGGAAATTCTTCCGGTACAGCTATTGAAGGCCTCACAAACTATGTGGTCAAAATAGATGTTAAATAATGTGGGAGCCAGAGGACATCCCTGTCGCACCCCAAGGTGTACAGCGAATGGCTCCGACTCGCAGTAGTTTTACCTGGGCCCGCTAACCATCATGAAGGTCCTTAATGATCGTGAGCAGAGGGTCAGGGACTCCGAAAGCACGAAGAACAACCCAGAGCCCAGGCCTACTGATGGTATCATAGGCCTTGACCAGGTCTTGTTGGAATCCCTACACCTCTGCTGTAGCAGACGGACAGAAAATATGGCATCCATGCAGGACTGCCCTTTCCTGAAACCACATTGAGGCTCTGCAATCCTCTCCTCAGCGTGCCTAACAATGTGCCAGGAAAGATCCTTGCCAGGACCTTTCCTGGCACATTGAGGAGTGAGATGCCCCTTCCAGTCCTGCGGAACCCGTCCAGTGGTTCAGACTGTTGTTATGATGTCATGTAGGGCAGTCTGTGCACAAACGCCACCCTCCCTCAGCATTTTACTTGGGAGATCATCTCTGCCCGGTGCCTTTTCTGGTCTCAGACTCTGGATCGCCTTCAGTACTTCCCTCAACAGATGGCACCTCAGCCAGCCACTCACAGGGGGTGACTTCCAATATTTGGGGCACCGCAGCCTCCACAGGGTCATCCCCACTTTGTCCCATGATGTTTCCCATGTTGAGGGATTTCCCCTCCCCCAGGACTTCATAGAAATGCTCAGCAAATCTGCAAACCTGTTCCTGGGGATCGGAGATTGGATCGCCGTTTTTTCCCCTGATGATGGTAATAGGTGTGTTGCTGCAGGTTACTTTTTTGATGGAGTTAAAAAAAGATTTGTGATCGCGGGCCACTGAGGCAGACTCCATCTCCACAGCAACCAATGACCACCACCCATCCTTGCAGTGCCTCACGGCTCTCTGAACCTCCGAGCGAAGGCTGCAGTAAGCCTCCTCATTTTCTGACGTGGGATGCTGGAGACGATTAGAGTGGGCCTGTCGCTTTTTCTCAACCATCCTGAACACCTCTGTCAGCCAGGGTCTCTGGGGAGGTCTGGACCGCGTACCCAAAGCAGCCATTGCAGCTGCATGAGTCACAGTCCTAAACCTCGTCCATTTACCCTCAACATCAGGAGGAGTGGGGGACGATGCCAACCCCAGCTGCAAGTGATGATTACAGATGACAAGTCGATGGTCAGAGGGCAGATCAGCTCCACGGTAGGTCCTGGTGTCAAGGACATGGGCCCACATCCGCTGGTCTGTCACTACGTAGTTCAGCAGATGTTCTTGCTTGGACTTGGCATGCATCCATGATGTTGTGTGGATGCACCGATGCCAGAACAGCGTGTTGGTAATTACAAGCCCGTGGGCTGCACAAAAATCTAGCAGCGTCCTACTGTTATTATTGAGCTTATCTGGCCCATGCCTTCCAATCACTGCAGACCAGGTGCCAGCATCATGACCAACTCGGGCATTGAAATCACCCAACAAGATGACTCTATCCCGAGGGGCCACTTTAGCCAGCACCTGTGACAGGAGGTCATAGAAGGTATCTAACTCATCGGCCTTGCCTGCATCCCTCCACGGATGTTCGTCTTCGGTGGGGGCATAAGTAACCACGACCACCGCTCCTCGCCTCTGGTTGATAGGAAGGCGAGCTCAAAGTAGCCTGGGGCTTACAGCTTCCCACACCTCACCGCCACGCTCTCACACCCCTTCATTCTTTTGTTCAGAAGAAGAGCCGCACCCTGATGTTTGGCAGTCTCCTGCCCCGAGTAGAGGACTGTCCACCCCTCATGGTGGCAGGATCCAGAACTGGTCCACCGGACCTCCTGAATGCCACAGAGATCCAGGCGGTACCGGTCCAGCTCCCGACAGAGGAGTGGCAGCCTCTCATCCGCAGTCAGCATTCGAACATTCCACGTGGCCATCCATAGTGGCTTTTTGTTGTTTCTGGAGGAGCCCCAAGGGTAAAGATTCAATCTCTTGGCTCTGCCAGATGGGGTTTGGCCAGGAGATGTCATAGAACACACACACTCTCTCACCCCACTCACCATATACTCACTCACTCACCCAACACTCACTACCCACTGACTCACCATTTTGGTGGTGGTCAGGTTGGTGATGTTGATGGTCATGATGGTCATGATGGTGATGATGTTGGTGATAGTGATGATGTTGATGTTGTTGATGTTGTTGATGTTAATGATGATGGTGATGTTGATGGTGTTGATGGTGTTGATGTTGATGATGTTGATGATGTTGGTGATGTTGTTGATGGTGGTGATGTTGATGGTGGTGATGTTGATGGTGGTGATGATGTTGGTGATGTTGATGATGAGCAGGGCGAGTGAGATTGTGGTGATGTTGATGGTGTTGGTGATGTTGATGGTGGTGATGATGTTGATGGTGGTGATGATGTTGATGTTGGTGACGTTGAGCAGGGCGTGTGAGATGGTGGTGATGTTGATGTTGGTGATGTTGATGCTGATGATGTTGATGTTGGTGTTGATGTTGGTGACGTTGAGCAGGGCGAGTGAGATGGTGGTGATGTTGATGGTGGTGATGTTGATGATGTTGATGGTGGTGATGATGTTGATGTTGGTGACGTTGAGCAGGGCGAGTGAGATGTTTATGTTGTTGATGACGTTGAGCAGGGCGAGTGAGATGGTGTTGATGGTGGTGATGTTGATGTTGGTGATGTTGAGCAGGGCGAGTGAGATGGTGTTGATGTTGATGTTGTTGATGTTGGTGACATTGTACAGGGCGAGTGAGATGGTGGTGATGTTGATGTTGGTGATGTTGATGGTGGTGATGTTGATGTTGTTGATGTTGAGCAGGGCGCGTGAGATGGTGGGGATGTTGGTGATGATGATGGTGTTGAGCAGAGCGAGTGAGATGGTGGTGATGTTGTTGATGTTGGTGATGTTGAGCAGGGCGAGTGAGATCGTGGTGATGTTGTTGATGTTGATGGCGTTGAGCAGGGCGAGTGAGATGGTGGTGATGTTGATGTTGTTGTTGATGTTGAGCAGGGCGAGTGAGATGGTGGTGATGTTGGTGATGTTGTTGATGTTGTTGATGTTGAGCAGGGCGAGTGAGATGGTGGCCATGAAGGTTGTGAAGAGCGCCCAGCACTACACGGAGACAGCGCTTGATGAGATCCGCCTCCTGCGCTGTGTGAGCAGAACTCACCACTCACCACTCACTCACTCACCACTCACTCACTCGCCACTCACTCACTCACCACTCACTCACCACTCACTCACTCACTCACCACTCACTCACTACTCACTCACCACCCTCACTCACTACCTCACTCACCACTCACTCACTACCTCACTCACCACTCACTCACCACTCACTACCTCACTCACTACCTCACTCACCACTCACTCACCACTCACTACCTCACTACCTCACTCACCACTCACTCACCACTCACTCAACACTCACTCACTCACCACTCACTCAACACTCACTCACTCACCACTCGCTCACCACTCACCACTCACTCACCACTCACTCACTCACTCACTACCTCACTCACTCACTCACCACTCACTCACCACTCACTCACTCACTCACCACTCACTCACCACTCACTCACTATCTCACCGACTCACCACTCACCACTTACTCACCACTCGCTCACCACTCGCTCACCACTCACTCACCCACTCACCACTCACTCACTCACCACTCACTCACTCACTACCTCACTCACCACTCAATCACTCACCACTCACTCACTCACTCACCACTCACTCACCACTCACTCACCACTCACTTACTATCTCACTGACTCACCACTCATCACTCACTCACCACTCACTCACCACTCACTCACCCACTCACCACTCACTCACTCACCACTCACTGATTTGATTGGCTGTCTGGGTGGTAGTGCTGTGATTGGTTGTCTGGGTGGTAGTGAAGTGATTGGCTGTCTGGGTGGTAGTGATGTGATTGGTTGTCTGGGTGGTAGTGATGTGATTGGTTGTGTGGGTGGTAGTGATGTGATTGGTTGTGTGGGTGGTAGTGAAGTGATTGGTTGTCTGGGTGGTAGTGAAGTGATTGGTTGTGTGAGTGGTAGTGACGTGATTGGTTGTCTGGGTGGTAGTGATGTGATTGGTTGTGTGGGTGGTAGTGATGTGATTGGTTGTCTGGGTGGTAGTGAAGTGATTGGTTGTGTGAGTGGTAGTGACGTGATTGGTTGTCTGGGTGGTAGTGATGTGATTGGTTGTCTGGGTGGTAGTGATGTGATTGGTTGTCTGGGTGGTAGTGAAGTGATTGGTTGTGTGAGTGGTAGTGACGTAATTGGTTGTCTGGGTGGTAGTGATGTGATTGGTTGTGTGGGTGGTAGTGAAGTGATTGGTTGTCTAGGTGGTAGTGATGTGATTGGTTGTCTGGGTGGTAGTGATGTGATTGGTTGTGTGGGTGGTAGTGAAGTGATTGGTTGTCTGGGTGGTAGTGAAGTGATTGGTTGTGTGAGTGGTAGTGACGTGATTGGTTGTCTGGGTGGTAGTGATGTGATTGGTTGTGTGGGTGGTAGTGATGTGATTGGTTGTCTGGGTGGTAGTGAAGTGATTGGTTGTGTGAGTGGTAGTGACGTGATTGGTTGTCTGGGTGGTAGTGATGTGATTGGTTGTCTGGGTGGTAGTGATGTGATTGGTTGTCTGGGTGGTAGTGAAGTGATTGGTTGTGTGAGTGGTAGTGACGTGATTGGTTGTCTGGGTGGTAGTGATGTGATTGGTTGTGTGGGTGGTAGTGAAGTGATTGGTTGTGTGAGTGGTAGTGACGTGATTGGTTGTCTGGGTGGTAGTGATGTGATTGGTTGTGTGGGTGGTAGTGAAGTGATTGGTTGTCTGGGTGGTAGTGATGTGATTGGTTGTCTGGGTGGTAGTGATGTGATTGGTTGTCTGGGTGGTAGTGAAGTGATTGGCTGTGTGGGTGGTAGTGATGTGATTGGTTGTCTGGGTGGTAGTGATGTGATTGGTTGTCTGGGTGGTAGTGATGTGATTGGCTGTCTGGGTGGTAGTGATGTGATTGGTTGTGTGAGTGGTAGTGAAGTGATTGGTTGTCTGGGTGGTAGTGATGTGATTGGTTGTCTGGGTGGTAGTGAAGTGATTGGTTGTGTGGGTGGTAGTGAAGTGATTGGCTGTGTGGGTGGTAGTGAAGTGATTGGTTGTGTGAGTGGTAGTGAAGTGATTGGTTGTCTGGGTGGTAGTGATGTGATTGGTTGTCTGGGTGGTAGTGAAGTGATTGGTTGTGTGGGTGGTAGTGAAGTGATTGGCTGTCTGGGTGGTAGTGATGTGATTGGTTGTGTGAGTGGTAGTGAAGTGATTGGCTGTCTGGGTGGTAGTGATGTGATTGGTTGTCTGGGTGGTAGTGAAGTGATTGGTTGTGTGGGTGGTAGTGATGTGATTGGTTGTGTGGGTGGTAGTGAAGTGATTGGTTGTGTGAGTGGTAGTGAAGTGATTGGTTGTCTGGGTGGTAGTGATGTGATTGGTTGTCTGGGTGGTAGTGACGTGATTGGTTGTGTGGGTGGTAGTGATGTGATTGGTTGTGTGGGTGGTAGTGACGTGATTGGTTGTCTGGGTGGTAGTGATGTGATTGGCTGTCTGGGTGGTAGTGATGTGATTGGTTGTCTGGGTGGTAGTGATGTGATTGGTTGTCTGGGTGGTAGTGATGTGATTGGTTGTCTGGGTGGTAGTGAAGTGATTGGTTGTGTGGGTGGTAGTGATGTGATTGGTGGTCTGGGTGGTAGTGATGTGATTGGTTGTCTGGGTGGTAGTGATGTGATTGGTTGTCTGGGTGGTAGTGATGTGATTGGTTGTGTGGGTGGTAGTGATGTGATTGGTTGTCTGGGTGGTAGTGATGTGATTGGTTGTCTGGGTGGTAGTGAAGTTATTGGTTGTGTGGGTGGTAGTGATGTGATTGGTTGTCTGGGTGGTAGTGATGTGATTGGTTGTGTGGGTGGTAGTGATGTGATTGGTTGTCTGGGTGGTAGTGATGTGATTGGTTGTCTGGGTGGTAGTGAGTGATTGGTTGTGTGGGTGGTAGTGATGTGATTGGTTGTCTGGGTGGTAGTGATATGATTGGTTGTCTGGGTGGTAGTGATGTGATTGGTTGTCTGGGTGGTAGTGATGTGATTGGTTGTCTGGGTGGTAGTGAAGTGATTGGTTGTCTGGGTGGTAGTGATGTGATTGGTTGTCTGGGTGGTAGTGATGTGATTGGTTGTCTGGTGGTAGTGATGTGATTGGTTGTCTGGGTGGTAGTGATGTGATTGGTTGTCTGGGTGGTAGTGAAGTGATTGGTTGTCTGGGTGGTAGTGATGTGATTGGTTGTCTGGGTGGTAGTGATGTGATTGGTTGTGTGGGTGGGTAGTGATGTGATTGGTTGTCTGGGTGGTAGTGATGTGATTGGTTGTCTGGGTGGTAGTGAAGTGATTGGTTGTGTGGGGTGGTAGTGATGTGATTGGTTGTGTGGGTGGTAGTGATGTGATTGGTTGTGTGGGTGGTAGTGAAGTGATTGGTTTGTGTGGGTGGTAGTGAAGTGATTGGTTGTGTGGGTGGTAGTGATGTGATTGGTTGTCTGGGTGGTAGTGATGTGATTGGTTGTGTGGGTGGTAGTGATGTGATTGGTTGTCTGGGTGGTAGTGATATGATTGGCTGTCCTGGGTGGTAGTGAAGTGATTGGTTGTCTGGGTGGTAGTGAAGTGATTGGCTGTCTGGGTGGTAGTGATGTGATTGGTTGTGTGGGTGGTAGTGAAGTGATTGGTTGTGTGGGTGGTAGTGATGTGATTGGTTGTCTGGGTGGTAGTGATGTGATTGGTTGTCTGGGTGGTAGTGATGTGATTGGTTTGTCTGGGTGGTAGTGATGTGATTGGTTGTCTGGGTGGTAGTGATGTGATTGGTTGTCTGGTGGTAGTGATGTGATTGGTTGTGTGGGTGGTAGTGATGTGATTGGTTGTCTGGGTGGTAGTGATGTGATTGGTTGTCTGGGTGGTAGTGAAGTTATTGGTTGTGTGGTGGTAGTGATGTGATTGGTTGTCTGGGGTGGTAGTGATGTGATTGGTTGTGTGGGTGGTAGTGATGTGATTGGTTGTCTGGGTGGTAGTGATGTGATTGGTTGTCTGGGTGGTAGTGAAGTGATTGGTTGTGTGGGTGGTAGTGATGTGATTGGTTGTCTGGGTGGTAGTGATGTGATTGGTTGTCTGGGTGGTAGTGATGTGATTGGTTGTCTGGGTGGTAGTGATGTGATTGGTTGTCTGGGTGGTAGTGATGTGATTGGTTGTCTGGGTGGTAGTGAAGTGATTGGTTGTCTGGGTGGTAGTGATGTGATTGGTTGTCTGGGTGGTAGTGATGTGATTGGTTGTCTGGGTGGTAGTGATGTGATTGGTTGTCTGGGGTGGTAGTGAAGTGATTGGTTGTCTGGGTGGTAGTGATGTGATGGTTGTCTGGTGGTAGTGATGTGATTGGTTGTGTGGGTGGTAGTGATGTGATTGGTTGTCTGGGTGGTAGTGATGTGATTGGTTGTCTGAGTGGTAGTGAAGTGATTGGTTGTGTGGGTGGTAGTGATGTGATTGGTTGTGTGGGTGGTAGTGATGTGATTGGTTGTGTGGGTGGTAGTGAAGTGATTGGTTGTGTGGGTGGTAGTGAAGTGATTGGTTGTGTGGGTGGTAGTGATGTGATTGGTTGTCTGGGTGGTAGTGATGTGATTGGTTGTGTGGGTGGTAGTGATGTGATTGGTTGTCTGGGTGGTAGTGATATGATTGGCTGTCTGGGTGTAGTGAAGTGATTGGTTGTCTGGGTGGTAGTGAAGTGATTGGCTGTCTGGGTGGTAGTGATGTGATTGGTTGTGTGGGTGGTAGTGAAGTGATTGGTTGTGTGGGTGGTAGTGATGTGATTGGTTGTCTGGGTGGTAGTGATGTGATTGGTTGTCTGGGTGGTAGTGATGTGATTGGTTGTCTGGGTGGTAGTGATGTGATTGGTTGTCTGGGTGGTAGTGATGTGATTGGTTGTCTGGGTGGTAGTGATGTGATTGGTTGTCTGGGTGGTAGTGATGTGATTGGTTGTCTGGGTGGTAGTGATGTGATTGGTTGTCTGGGTGGTAGTGATGTGATTGGTTGTGTGGGTGGTAGTGATGTGATTGGTTGTGTGAGTGGTAGTGAAGTG